TTAACCAATACTTTTGTAATTCCATAGGGATTGAAACTTCTCCCATCTGATTAAAAATCTGATGGTTTATTTTCCATTTAGCTAATTACGCTTCCTTATAGAAACTACAATTTGCAAATTTATATTTGTTCATAAAACTTATCTTAGCATTCAACTAAATCTAGTGAAGTAAGAGAAGCATTTTTTAAAAATATCCTAACACAAAAAAATTCAATTCAATAAATTAAAACAGTTTACAATAATATAAAATTGTAATCATACTATTATTAAAATTACAAAATATTAAAAAATAGCAAAGATGTTTGTAAACAGTTGTGTCATATACAATATAAGCTGTGGTAGTAAAGTGGTTAATACATTGCATTGTGGCTGCAAAAGCCCAGGTTCAAATCCTGGCCATAGCATTTTACATCTAGCTTTACTGTATTTGCTGTTACTTTATTACATGTTCAATTGTTATAATTAAACTTTTGTTAATGCATAACAACGCTATACAATTATTATAGGTTTCAAGCTAATATTTAAAAAAAATGCTTTAAATAAGAAAAAAAAAGATGCAACAAGATATATAAAACACAGATTATTACACATTTTCTTAATGTTTGAATAATTTAAACTTTCATTAAAATTACTGCGTTTTTTTTCCAGTAGAATTTGCATAAACTTAAGACACTTAAAAATCACAGTTTTTACAAGAAACGTCTTAAACGATTTTCAACGTATGACGGACATTTAATGTTACTGTTGTTTTGTATTAATTTCATCTATTCGTAATTTTTTTTTAAATGTTCTTAATCAAGCAACTTTCATATTGTTAAGAAAGCATATATGTAAAATTAATTTTGTAAAAGTTTGCATTGTTATATTTAAACAATTAAATGAAAAAATAAATGAATAAAGTTTTATAGTATAATATTGTGTGTAAAACGAAATAAAACCAATTTCGAAAACGGACTTCTTGCTTTCAGAATTTGTTTTATTTTGTTTTACTTCAATTTATCAGCTTGTCCTGGTTATTGGCCTAACATTAGAAAAAGCGATAATACGAAGAAAATCAGATGTCTATTTTCGAATTTGTTTTGTTTCGTTTTACTTAAAATTGTCTGCTTGTTCTGGTTATATTAATTCTGGGTATGACAACCATTATGCTAACTGGGGTATTAGAATGATTCTTGCATGCACACAAAAAGTACCTGGTTTAATTTCTATTTGAGCCTTACCAACACTAATAATCGCATTGTTCTCTGATGGTTAATCATCACTGTTTCAAGTAAAAATTAAGTACAATTACTAAGTATTATTTGTAACACTTTAATATCTTGTTTCTTTATGTCAATTTTGGCAGAATAAAAAACATAAAAACAGTACTAAAACAACGATATAACTTATATTAATAAACTATGAAGAAAGAAATAATTTGTAAAGTTTTTTCTAAGTTTACTTTTTGACAAACTTTCTATTTATAAAGTGTAACACGTAGTTTTGTAATAGAGAAGACTAAAAAAGAATAATATATTGCTTATAATGTTGCACATATTAGTACAATAATGTGGCAACATTTAATATTGAATTTCATGAAAACAAAGATAGGACTTTTACAATTCTTATCTACGTATAAAAAACTTATTTCATCTAACAGCATCCAAAACCATCTTAAATTTAATAATAAAGTTTTATGTGTAAACTAAACTTTCTCAAGTTGTAGTGAGGATTTGAAACAAGGCCCTAAAAATGAGAGTCTTATGCTGTACCAAGAGACATACTCTAGCTTTCGTAGAAACTATACAATCTTTCTAATTAATTTTTGTTAACAACACTTTTCTCAACTACTACTCCAATGCAGTAAATTTATGAAAGAAATATCGTAAAAGGATTTAAACCCTGCATAATACATTGTATACTTTAAAAAATTGCCAAGTATTACGAAAAAGAAGTAATATTACACTTTGTATATTTAAGAGAACAACATTTTTGGTACCTACAAAGAATGTAATAAATATTTATATCAATGCTTGTTTAATGCACACTGTAAGTTATGGTAGTAAAGAGGACCTTTAACAGCACTTAGAACATATAAGTCAATGTGCAAGTCTTGAACATAGTATATATGTTCAAACATACAGTACTTACAATAATTTTGCAGAAGTGAGAGTTTTTTAAATGACAATTTCTTTATTTTTGTATTAAAACAGTACAACATTATTATAAAAATCTGGATAGTACATTCAGAAGTGTAATGGTATAAATTTTCAACTTAGTTGCTTATCACATAGAATTCATATTAAAGTGTCCAAATTAAGCATGAAATAAATCACACCATATTATATTTAACCAATACTTTTTGTAATTCCATAGGGGATTGAAGCTTCTCCCATCTGATTAAAAATCTGATGGTTTATTTTCCATTTAGCTAATTACGCTTCCTTATAGAAACTACAATTTGCAAATTTATATTTGTTCATAAAACTTATCTTAGCATTCAACTAAATCTAGTGAAGTAAGAGAAGCATTTTTTTAAAAATATCCTAACACAAAAAAATTCAATTCAATAAATTAAAACAGTTTACAATAATATAAAATTGTAATCATACTATTATTAAAATTACAAAATATTAAAAAATAGCAAAGATGTTTGTAAACAGTTGTGTCATATACAATATAAGCTGTGGTAGTAAAGTGGTTAATACATTGCATTGTGGCTGCAAAAGCCCAGGTTCAAATCCTGGCCATAGCATTTTACATCTAGCTTTACTGTATTTGCTGTTACTTTATTACATGTTCAATTGTTATAATTAAACTTTTGTTAATGCATAACAAAACGCTATACAATTATTATAGGTTTCAAGCTAATATTTAAAAAAAATGCTTTAAATAAGAAAAAAAAGGTGCAACAAGATATATAAAACACAGATTATTACACATTTTCTTAATGTTTGAATAATTTAAACTTTCATTAAAATTACTGCGTTTTTTTTCCAGTAGAATTTGCATAAACTTAAGACACTTAAAAATCACAGTTTTTACAAGAAACGTCTTAAACGATTTTCAACGTATGACGGACATTTAATGTTACTGTTGTTTTGTATTAATTTCATCTATTCGTAATTTTTTTTTAAATGTTCTTAATCAAGCAACTTTCATATTGTTAAGAAAGCATATATGTAAAATTAATTCTTTGTAAAAGTTTGCATTGTTATATTTAAACAATTAAATGAAAAAAATAAATGAATAAAGTTTTATAGTATAATAATTGTGCTGTAAAACGAAATAAAACCAATTTCGAAAACGGACTTCTTGCTTTCAGAATTTGTTTTATTTTGTTTTATATCAATTTATCAGCTTGTCCTGGTTATTGGCCTAACATTAGAAAAAGCGATAATATGAGGAAATTCAGATGTCCATTTTCGGAATTTGTTTTGTTTCGTTTTACTTAAAATTGTCTGCTTGTTCTGGTTATATTAATTCTGGGTATGACAACCATTATGCTAACTGGGGTATTAGAATGATTCTTGCATGCACACAAAAAGTACCTGGTTTAATTTCTATTTGAGCCTTACCAACACTAATAATCGCATTGTTCTCTGATGGTTAATCATCACTGTTTCAAGTAAAAATTAAGTACTATTACTAAGTATTATTTGCAACACTTCTTAATATCTTGTTTCTTTATGTCAATTTTGGCAGAAGAAAAAACATAAAAACAGTACTAAAACAACGATATAACTTATATTAATAAACTATGAAGAAAGAAATAATTTGTAAAGTTTTTTCTAAGTTTACTTTTTGACAAACTTTCTATTTATAAAGTGTAACACGTAGTTTTGTAATAGAGAAGACTAAAAAAGAATAATATATTGCTTATAATGTTGCACATATTAGTACAATAATGTGGCAACATTTAATATTGAATTTCATGAAAACAAAGATAGGACTTTTACAATTCTTATCTACGTATAAAATACTTATTTGATCTAACAGCATCCAAAACCATCTTAAATTTAATAATAAAGTTTTATGTGTAAACTGAACTTTCTCAAGTTGTAGTGAGGATTTGAACGAAGGCCCTAAAAATGAGAGTCTTATGCTGTACCAAGAGACATACTCTAGCTTTCGTAGAAACTATACAATCTTTCTAATTTATTTTTGTTAACAACACTTTTCTCAACTACTAATCCAATGCAGTAAATTTATGAAAGAAATATCCTAAAAGGATTTAAACCCTGCATAATACATTGTATACTTTAAAAAATTGCCAAGTATTACGAAAAAGAAGTAATATTACACTTTGTATATTTAAGAGAACAACATTTTTGGTACCTACAAAGAATGTAATAAATATTTATATCAATGCTTGTTTAATGCACACTGTAAGTTATGGTAGTAAAGAGGACCTTTAACAGCACTTAGAACATATAAGCCAATGTGCAAGTCTTGAACATAGTATATATGTTCAAACATACAGTACTTACAATAATTTTGCGGAAGTGAGAGTTTATTAAATGACAATTTCTTTATTTTTGTATTAAAACAGTACAACGTCATTATAAAAATCTGGATAGTATATTCAGAAGTGTAATGGTATTAGTTTTCAACTTAGTTTCTTTTCACATAGAATTCATATTAAAGTGTCCAAGTTAAGCATGAAATAAATCACACCATATTATATTTAACCAATACTTTTTGTAATTCCATAGGGGATTGAAGCTTCTCCCATCTGATTAAAAATCTGATGGTTTATTTTCCATTTCGCTAATTACGCTTGCTTATAGAAACTACAATTTGCAAATTTATATTTGTTCATAAAACTTATCTTAGCATTCAACTAAATCTAGTGAAGTAAGAGAAGCATTTTTTAAAAATATCCTAACACAAAAAAATTCAATTCAATAAATTAAAACAGTTTACAATAATATAAAATTGTAATCATACTATTATTAAAATTACAAAATATTAAAAAATAGCAAAGATGTTTGTAAACAGTTGTGTCATATACAATATAAGCTGTGGTAGTAAAGTGGTTAATACATTGCATTGTGGCTGCAAAAAGCCCAGGTTCAAATCCTGGCCATAGCATTTTACATCTAGCTTTACTGTATTTGCTGTTACTTTATTACATGTTCAATTGTTATAATTAAACTTTTGTTAATGCATAACAAAACGCTATACAATTATTATAGGTTTCAAGCTAATATTTAAAAAAAAATGCTTTAAATAAGAAAAAAAAGGTGCAACAAGATATATAAAACACAGATTATTACACATTTTCTTAATGTTTGAATAATTTAAACTTTCATTAAAATTACTGCGTTTTTTTTCCAGTAGAATTTGCATAAACTTAAGACACTTAAAAATCACAGTTTTTACAAGAAACGTCTTAAACGATTTTCAACGTATGACGGACATTTAATGTTACTGTTGTTTTGTATTAATTTCATCAATTCGTAATTTTTTTTTAAATGTTCTTAATCAAGCAACTTTCATATTGTTAAGAAAGCATATATGTAAAATTAATTCTTTGTAAAAGTTTGCATTGTTATATTTAAACAATTAAATGAAAAAAATAAATGAATAAAGTTTTATAGTATAATAATTGTGCTGTAAAACGAAATAAAACCAATTTCGAAAACGGACTTCTTGCTTTCAGAATTTGTTTTATTTTGTTTTATATCAATTTATCAGCTTGTCCTGGTTATTGGCCTAACATTAGAAAAAGCGATAATATGAGGAAATTCAGATGTCCATTTTCGGAATTTGTTTTGTTTCGTTTTACTTAAAATTGTCTGCTTGTTCTGGTTATATTAATTCTGGGTATGACAACCATTATGCTAACTGGGGTATTAGAATGATTCTTGCATGCACACAAAAAGTACCTGGTTTAATTTCTATTTGAGCCTTACCAACACTAATAATCGCATTGTTCTCTGATGGTTAATCATCACTGTTTCAAGTAAAAATTAAGTACTATTACTAAGTATTATTTGCAACACTTCTTAATATCTTGTTTCTTTATGTCAATTTTGGCAGAAGAAAAAACATAAAAACAGTACTAAAACAACGATATAACTTATATTAATAAACTATGAAGAAAGAAATAATTTGTAAAGTTTTTTCTAAGTTTACTTTTTGACAAACTTTCTATTTATAAAGTGTAACACGTAGTTTTGTAATAGAGAAGACTAAAAAAGAATAATATATTGCTTATAATGTTGCACATATTAGTACAATAATGTGGCAACATTTAATATTGAATTTCATGAAAACAAAGATAGGACTTTTACAATTCTTATCTACGTATAAAAAACTTATTTCATCTAACAGCATCCAAAACCATCTTAAATTTAATAAAAAAGTTTTATGTGTAAACTAAACTTTCTCAAGTTGTAGTGAGGATTTGAAACAAGGCCCTAAAAATGAGAGTCTTATGCTGTACCAAGAGACATACTCTAGCTTTCGTAGAAACTATACAATCTTTCTAATTAATTTTTGTTAACAACACTTTTCTCAACTACTACTCCAATGCAGTAAATTTATGAAAGAAATATCGTAAAAGGATTTAAACCCTGCATAATACATTGTATACTTTAAAAAATTGCCAAGTATTACGAAAAAGAAGTAATATTACACTTTGTATATTTAAGAGAACAACATTTTTGGTACCTACAAAGAATGTAATAAATATTTATATCAATGCTTGTTTAATGCACACTGTAAGTTATGGTAGTAAAGAGGACCTTTAACAGCACTTAGAACATATAAGCCAATGTGCAAGTCTTGAACATAGTATATATGTTCAAACATACAGTACTTACAATAATTTTGCAGAAGTGAGAGTTTTTTAAATGACAATTTCTTTATTTTTGTATTAAAACAGTACAACATTATTATAAAAATCTGGATAGTACATTCAGAAGTGTAATGGTATAAATTTTCAACTTAGTTGCTTATCACATAGAATTCATATTAAAGTGTCCAAATTAAGCATGAAATAAATCACACCATATTATATTTAACCAATACTTTTTGTAATTCCATAGGGGATTGAAGCTTCTCCCATCTGATTAAAAATCTGATGGTTTATTTTCCATTTAGCTAATTACGCTTCCTTATAGAAACTACAATTTGCAAATTTATATTTGTTCATAAAACTTATCTTAGCATTCAACTAAATCTAGTGAAGTAAGAGAAGCATTTTTTAAAAATATCCTAACACAAAAAAATTCAATTCAATAAATTAAAACAGTTTACAATAATATAAAATTGTAATCATACTATTATTAAAATTACAAAATATTAAAAAATAGCAAAGATGTTTGTAAACAGTTGTGTCATATACAATATAAGCTGTGGTAGTAAAGTGGTTAATACATTGCATTGTGGCTGCAAAAGCCCAGGTTCAAATCCTGGCCATAGCATTTTACATCTAGCTTTACTGTATTTGCTGTTACTTTATTACATGTTCAATTGTTATAATTAAACTTTTGTTAATGCATAACAAAACGCTATACAATTATTATAGGTTTCAAGCTAATATTTAAAAAAAATGCTTTAAATAAGAAAAAAAAGGTGCAACAAGATATATAAAACACAGATTATTACACATTTTCTTAATGTTTGAATAATTTAAACTTTCATTAAAATTACTGCGTTTTTTTTCCAGTAGAATTTGCATAAACTTAAGACACTTAAAAATCACAGTTTTTACAAGAAACGTCTTAAACGATTTTCAACGTATGACGGACATTTAATGTTACTGTTGTTTTGTATTAATTTCATCAATTCGTAATTTTTTTTTTTTTAAATGTTCTTAATCAAGCAACTTTCATATTGTTAAGAAAGCATATATGTAAAATTAATTCTTTGTAAAAGTTTGCATTGTTATATTTAAACAATTAAATGAAAAAAATAAATGAATAAAGTTTTATAGTATAATAATTGTGCTGTAAAACGAAATAAAACCAATTTCGAAAACGGACTTCTTGCTTTCAGAATTTGTTTTATTTTGTTTTATATCAATTTATCAGCTTGTCCTGGTTATTGGCCTAACATTAGAAAAAGCGATAATATGAGGAAATTCAGATGTCCATTTTCGGAATTTGTTTTGTTTCGTTTTACTTAAAATTGTCTGCTTGTTCTGGTTATATTAATTCTGGGTATGACAACCATTATGCTAACTGGGGTATTAGAATGATTCTTGCATGCACACAAAAAGTACCTGGTTTAATTTCTATTTGAGCCTTACCAACACTAATAATCGCATTGTTCTCTGATGGTTAATCATCACTGTTTCAAGTAAAAATTAAGTACTATTACTAAGTATTATTTGCAACACTTCTTAATATCTTGTTTCTTTATGTCAATTTTGGCAGAAGAAAAAACATAAAAACAGTACTAAAACAACGATATAACTTATATTAATAAACTATGAAGAAAGAAATAATTTGTAAAGTTTTTTCTAAGTTTACTTTTTGACAAACTTTCTATTTATAAAGTGTAACACGTAGTTTTGTAATAGAGAAGACTAAAAAAGAATAATATATTGCTTATAATGTTGCACATATTAGTACAATAATGTGGCAACATTTAATATTGAATTTCATGAAAACAAAGATAGGACTTTTACAATTCTTATCTACGTATAAAATACTTATTTGATCTAACAGCATCCAAAACCATCTTAAATTTAATAATAAAGTTTTATGTGTAAACTGAACTTTCTCAAGTTGTAGTGAGGATTTGAACGAAGGCCCTAAAAATGAGAGTCTTATGCTGTACCAAGAGACATACTCTAGCTTTCGTAGAAACTATACAATCTTTCTAATTTATTTTTGTTAACAACACTTTTCTCAACTACTAATCCAATGCAGTAAATTTATGAAAGAAATATCCTAAAAGGATTTAAACCCTGCATAATACATTGTATACTTTAAAAAATTGCCAAGTATTACGAAAAAGAAGTAATATTACACTTTGTATATTTAAGAGAACAACATTTTTGGTACCTACAAAGAATGTAATAAATATTTATATCAATGCTTGTTTAATGCACACTGTAAGTTATGGTAGTAAAGAGGACCTTTAACAGCACTTAGAACATATAAGCCAATGTGCAAGTCTTGAACATAGTATATATGTTCAAACATACAGTACTTACAATAATTTTGCAGAAGTGAGAGTTTTTTAAATGACAATTTCTTTATTTTTGTATTAAAACAGTACAACATTATTATAAAAATCTGGATAGTACATTCAGAAGTGTAATGGTATAAATTTTCAACTTAGTTGCTTATCACATAGAATTCATATTAAAGTGTCCAAATTAAGCATGAAATAAATCACACCATATTATATTTAACCAATACTTTTTGTAATTCCATAGGGGATTGAAGCTTCTCCCATCTGATTAAAAATCTGATGGTTTATTTTCCATTTAGCTAATTACGCTTCCTTATAGAAACTACAATTTGCAAATTTATATTTGTTCATAAAACTTATCTTAGCATTCAACTAAATCTAGTGAAGTAAGAGAAGCATTTTTTAAAAATATCCTAACACAAAAAAATTCAATTCAATAAATTAAAACAGTTTACAATAATATAAAATTGTAATCATACTATTATTAAAATTACAAAATATTAAAAAATAGCAAAGATGTTTGTAAACAGTTGTGTCATATACAATATAAGCTGTGGTAGTAAAGTGGTTAATACATTGCATTGTTGCTGCAAAAGCCCAGGTTCAAATCCTGGCCATAGCATTTTACATCTAGCTTTACTGTATTTGCTGTTACTTTATTACATGTTCAATTGTTATAATTAAACTTTTGTTAATGCATAACAAAACGCTATACAATTATTATAGGTTTCAAGCTAATATTTAAAAAAAATGCTTTAAATAAGAAAAAAAAGGTGCAACAAGATATATAAAACACAGATTATTACACATTTTCTTAATGTTTGAATAATTTAAACTTTCATTAAAATTACTGCGTTTTTTTTCCAGTAGAATTTGCATAAACTTAAGACACTTAAAAATCACAGTTTTTACAAGAAACGTCTTAAACGATTTTCAACGTA